ATATCTACGTTAATTTTAACTCCAATAAAAAAAAACTGACCTCATACATAATGAAATGGGCAGCTTTATCATTTCATAAGAAAAAAAATAGAGAAAATATATTAATTCAGGAAAACTTGGCTTATTAGGCAAATCGGGCCTTGCATAGTAGGCTGAGAAGTGCGTTCTGGCTACTAGGTACGACATAAATATATATATATACATTTATATATTTGTACCTTGTAGCCAGAACGCATTTCTCGGCCTACTATGCAAGGCCCGATTTGCCTAATAGGCCGAGTGATTTTCGTTATTTAAAAAAAAATCCAATTGGTTTATTGGAATTAATATTATTAAATTAAATTAAGAACATAAATTATTGACTAAGTTATGTTAGTTTAGGTTAGATTAAGACAGGTTAGGTTAGGTTAGGTAGGGTTAGTTAGGTTCGGTCATGTATCTACGTTAGTTTTAACTCAAATAAAAAAAATTATAATTTCATAAGAAAAATATTTGAAAAATAAATTTATTCAGGAAAACTTGGCATATTAGGCAAATCGGGTCTTGCATAGCAATGTTCGTTTGTGCATGACTGCTAATCTCCGAAAGTTCTTCACCGATTGCTTTGAAATTTTGATACAACGTTGCATTCGAATAGGCGCGTCTTTTTATACACCTACTATATAGATGCCACCCCTGTGACAGGTAAAAACATGCGTTTTTGAAAAACAGCGCCATCTGTTGCACATAACAGCAACATGCACGCTATACTAAATGTGTCACGAAGTCCATTTCAATGTTTCCGATTCTATTGATAAATTTTATTTTCATGGATTTCCATTTGTTTTATTTTTATTTATTTATTTTGTGACATTGTGTTGGAATTCAGCTGTATTGTTTACCATACCGTTCATTTCGTTAGTATAAGTATAGGTGCCACACCTGTGACAGGTAAAACTATGTTTTTCTTGAAAATCAGCGCCCTCTGTTTCATGTAAGAGCAACACACACATGCTATACTAACTGAAAACTCACACCCCAGAAGTGACTCGAACCCATACTCCCAGAAGCAACGCATCTGGTATGTACAAGACGCCTTAATCCACTTGACCATCACGACCGGACATAATGAGGTGATAGCCGAGGCTATTTGAACCACCCCACCGCCGGCACTCGGATAGTTATCTTGGGCATAGCATTTTACCAAATCACCTCATTCTTTGGGGCAACACGTGAGGAACACAAATGCGAACAAGCCTGAATGGTCCCCAGGACATATGCAACTGAAAACTCACACCCCAGAAGTGACTCGAACCCATACTCCCAGAAGCAACGCATCTGGTATGTACAAGACGCCTTAATCCACTTGACCATCACGACCGGACATAATGAGGTGATAGCCGAGGCTATTTGAACCACCCCACCGCCGGCACTCGGATAGTTATCTTGGGCATAGCATTTTACCAAATCACCTCATTCTTTGGGGCAACACGTGAGGAACACAAATGCGAACAAGCCTGAATGGTCCCCAGGACATATGCAACTGAAAACTCACACCCCAGAAGTGACTCGAACCCATACTCCCAGAAGCAACGCATCTGGTATGAACAAGACGCCTTAATCCACTTGACCATCACGACCGGACATAATGAGGTGATAGCCGAGGCTATTTGAAACACCCCACCGCCGGCACTCGGATAGTTATCTTGGGCATAGCATTTTACCAAATCACCTCATTCTTTGGGGCAACACGTGAGGAACACAAATGCGAACAAGCCTGAATGGTCCCCAGGACATATGCAACTGAAAACTCACACCCCAGAAGTGACTCGAACCCATACTCCCAGAAGCAACGCATCTGGTATGTACAAGACGCCTTAATCCACTTGACCATCACGACCGGACATAATGAGGTGATAGCCGAGGCTATTTGAACCACCCCACCGCCGGCACTCGGATAGTTATCTTGGGCATAGCATTTTACCAAATCACCTCATTCTTTGGGGCAACACGTGAGGAACACAAATGCGAACAAGCCTGAATGGTCCCCAGGACATATGCAACTGAAAACTCACACCCCAGAAGTGACTCGAACCCATACTCCCAGAAGCAACGCATCTGGTATGTACAAGACGCCTTAATCCACTTGACCATCACGACCGGACATAATGAGGTGATAGCCGAGGCTATTTGAACCACCCCACCGCCGGCACTCGGATAGTTATCTTGGGCATAGCATTTTACCAAATCACCTCATTCTTTGGGGCAACACGTGAGGAACACAAATGCGAACAAGCCTGAATGGTCCCCAGGACATATGCAACTGAAAACTCACACCCCAGAAGTGACTCGAACCCATACTCCCAGAAGCAACGCATCTGGTATGATGCGCATACCAGATGCGTTGCTTCTGGGAGTATGGGTTCGAGTCACTTCTGGGGTGTGAGTTTTCAGTTGCATATGTCCTGGGGACCATTCAGGCTTGTTCGCATTTGTGTTCCTCACGTGTTGCCCCAAAGAATGAGGTGATTTGGTAAAATGCTATGCCCAAGATAACTATCCGAGTGCCGGCGGTGGGGTGGTTCAAATAGCCTCGGCTATCACCTCATTATGTCCGGTCGTGATGGTCAAGTGGATTAAGGCGTCTTGTTCATACCAGATGCGTTGCTTCTGGGAGTATGGGTTCGAGTCACTTCTGGGGTGTGAGTTTTCAGTTGCATATGTCCTGGGGACCATTCAGGCTTGTTCGCATTTGTGTTCCTCACGTGTTGCCCCAAAGAATGAGGTGATTTGGTAAAATGCTATGCCCAAGATAACTATCCGAGTGCCGGCGGTGGGGTGGTTCAAATAGCCTCGGCTATCACCTCATTATGTCCGGTCGTGATGGTCAAGTGGATTAAGGCGTCTTGTACATACCAGATGCGTTGCTTCTGGGAGTATGGGTTCGAGTCACTTCTGGGGTGTGAGTTTTCAGTTGCATATGTCCTGGGGACCATTCAGGCTTGTTCGCATTTGTGTTCCTCACGTGTTGCCCCAAAGAATGAGGTGATTTGGTAAAATGCTATGCCCAAGATAACTATCCGAGTGCCGGCGGTGGGGTGGTTCAAATAGCCTCGGCTATCACCTCATTATGTCCGGTCGTGATGGTCAAGTGGATTAAGGCGTCTTGTACATACCAGATGCGTTGCTTCTGGGAGTATGGGTTCGAGTCACTTCTGGGGTGTGAGTTTTCAGTTGCATATGTCCTGGGGACCATTCAGGCTTGTTCGCATGCTATACTAAATATGTTACAATTCCATTTCAATGTAGCTGATTGCAGTGATAAATTTAATTTTCATAGACTTTAATTTATTTTCAATTGATTTAATTATTCTGTGTGAATTGCGTTGGAATTGAGCTGTGTTGTTTACCATACCGTTCATTTCGTGAGTATAGGATTTGTTTTATATTTTCATTTTAGTTTTTATCTGTTTTCTTATATTTCAGTGATGGAAAAATCAAATCACTTGATGTTCCCAATTTTCTGATGGGAACATCAGACCATTTGGGAAGGCATCGGACGAGGGAGTGGGGAATGGTGGGGAAGGACGAGGGGACAGGGAAGTTTGGGATGGTGGGGACGAAGGGGATGGGGGAATGGAGAATAATGGGGGTGGAAAAAGGGACAGGAGAGTGAGACATGGTGGGATGGAAGAGGGGATGGTGCAGTGGGGAATGGTTGACATATATAAATACATACATATTTATATATATATATATATATATATATATATATATATATATATATATATATATATATATATATATATATATAATTGTGTGTGTGTGTGTCAACCTGTAGAGTGTGTCAACCTGTAGAGTGTGTCAACCTGTAGAGTGTGTCAACCTGTAGAGTGTGTCAACCTGTAGTGTGTGTCAACCTGTAGTGTGTGTCAACCTGTAGTGTGTGTCAACCTGTAGAGTGTGTCAACCTGTAGTGTGTGTCAACCTGTAGAGTGTGTCAACCTGTAAAGTGTGTCAACCTGTAGAGTGTGTCAACCTGTAGAGTGTGTCAACCTGTAGTGTGTGTCAACCTGTAGAGTGTGTCAACCTGTAGAGTGTGTCAACCTGTAGAGTGTGTCAACCTGTAGAGTGTGTCAACCTGTAGAGTGTGTCAACCTGTAGAGTGTGTCAACCTGTAGAGTGTGTCAACCTGTAGTGTGTGTCAACCTGTAGAGTGTGTCAACCTGTAAAGTGTGTCAACCTGTAGAGTGTGTCAACCTGTAGAGTGTGTCAACCTGTAGAGTGTGTCAACCTGTAGTATGTGTCAACCTGTAGTATGTGTCAACCTGTAGTGTGTGTCAACCTGTAGTGTGTGTCAACCTGTAAAGTGTGTCAACCTGTAGTGTGTGTCAATCTGTAGTGTGTGTCAACCTGTAGTGTGTGTCAACCTGTAGAGTGTGTCAACCTGTAGAGTGTGTCAACCTGTAGAGTGTGTCAACCTGTAGAGTGTGTCAACCTGTAGTGTGTGTCAACCTGTAGAGTGTGTCAACCTGTAGAGTGTGTCAACCTGTAGAGTGTGTCAACCTGTAGAGTGTGTCAACCTGTAGAGTGTGTCAACCTGTAGAGTGTGTCAACCTGTAGTGTGTGTCAACCTGTAGAGTGTGTCAACCTGTAGAGTGTGTCAACCTGTAGTGTGTGTCAACCTGTAGAGTGTGTCAACCTGTAGTGTGTGTCAACCTGTAGAGTGTGTCAACCTGTAGAGTGTGTCAACCTGTAGAGTGTGTCAACCTGCAGAGTGTGTCAACCTGTAGAGTGTGTCAACCTGTAGAGTGTGTCAACCTGTAGAGTGTGTCAACCTGTAGAGTGTGTCAACCTGCAGAGTGTGTCAACCTGTAGAGTGTGTCAACCTGTAGTATGTGTCAACCTGTAGTGTGTGTCAACCTGTAGTGTGTGTCAACCTGTAGAGTGTGTCAACCTGTAGAGTGTGTCAACCTGTAGAGTGTGTCAACCTGTAGAGTGTGTCAACCTGTAGAGTGTGTCAACCTGTAGTGTGTGTCAACCTGTAGAGTGTGTCAACCTGTAGAGTGTGTCAACCTGTAGAGTGTGTCAACCTGTAGAGTGTGTCAACCTGTAGAGTGTGTCAACCTGTAGAGTGTGTCAACCTGTAGTGTGTGTCAACCTGTAGAGTGTGTCAACCTGTAGAGTGTGTCAACCTGTAGTGTGTGTCAACCTGTAGAGTGTGTCAACCTGTAGTGTGTGTCAACCTGTAGAGTGTGTCAACCTGTAGAGTGTGTCAACCTGTAGAGTGTGTCAACCTGCAGAGTGTGTCAACCTGTAGAGTGTGTCAACCTGTAGAGTGTGTCAACCTGTAGAGTGTGTCAACCTGCAGAGTGTGTCAACCTGTAGAGTGTGTCAACCTGTAGTATGTGTCAACCTGTAGTGTGTGTCAACCTGTAGTGTGTGTCAACCTGTAGTGTGTGTCAACCTGTAGAGTGTGTCAACCTGTAGAGTGTGTCAACCTGTAGAGTGTGTCAACCTGTAGTGTGTGTCAACCTGTAGAGTGTGTCAACCTGTAGTGTGTGTCAACCTGTAGAGTGTGTCAACCTGTAGAGTGTGTCAACCTGTAGAGTGTGTCAACCTGTAGAGTGTGTCAACCTGTAGTGAAGGATGTGTGTTAAGTTTTAGAATTTCCTAAATAAATTTTTAAATTTTACATTCTGTTCTCCTTCGGGGAATCACCTGGGCTTTACCAGCATGTTAATGTTCATAATACATTCCTAGAGCAACAGGTGTGACTATCACTAGAGCAACAGGTGTGACTATCACTAGAGCAACAGGTGTGACTATCACTAGAGCAACAGGTGTGACTATCACTAGAGCAACAGGTGTGACTAACTATCACTAGAGCAACAGGTGTGACTATCACTAGAGCAACAGGTGTGACTATCACTAGAGCAACAGGTGTGACTATCACTAGAGTAACAGGTGTGACTATCACTAGAGCAACAGGTGTGACTAACTATCACTAGAGCAACAGGTGTGACTATCACTAGAGCAACAGGTGTGACTAACTATCACTAGAGCAACAGCTGTGACTAACTATCACTAGAGCAACAGGTGTGACTAACTATCATTAGAGCAACAGGTGTGACTATCACTAGAGCAACAGGTGTGACTAACTATCACTAGAGCAACAGGTGTGACTAACTATCACTAGAGCAACAGGTGTGACTAACTATCACTAGAGCAACAGGTGTGACTAACTATCATTAGAGCAACAGGTGTGACTATCACTAGAGCAACAGGCGTGACTATCACTAAAGCAACAGGTGTGACTATCACTAGAGCAACAGGTGTGACTAACTATCACTAGAGCAACAGGTGTGACTATATCTAGAGCAACAGGTGTGACTAACTATCACTAGAGCAACAGGTGTGACTATCACTGGAGCAACAGGTGTGACTATCACTAGAGCAACAGGTGTGACTATCACTAGAGCAACAGGTGTGACTAACTATCACTAGAGCAACAGGTGTGACTAACTATCACTAGAGCAACAGGTGTGACTAACTATCATTAGAGCAACAGGTGTGACTATCACTAGAGCAACAGGTGTGACTATCACTAGAGTAACAGGTGTGACTATCACTAGAGCAACAGGTGTGACTAACTATCACTAGAGCAACAGGTGTGACTATCACTAGAGCAACAGGTGTGACTATCACTAGAGCAACAGGTGTGACTATCACTAGAGCAACAGGTGTGACTAACTATCACTAGAGCAACAGGTGTGACTAACTATCACTAGAGCAACAGGTGTGACTAACTATCATTAGAGCAACAGGTGTGACTATCACTAGAGCAACAGGTGTGACTAACTATCACTAGAGCAACAGGTGTGACTAACTATCACTAGAGCAACAGGTGTGACTATCACTAGAGCAACAGGTGTGACTAACTATCACTAGAGCAACAGGTGTGACTAACTATCACTAGAGCAACAGGTGTGACTATCACTAGAGCAACAGGTGTGACTATCACTAGAGCAACAGGTGTGACTAACTATCACTAGAGCAACAGGTGTGACTATCACTAGAGCAACAGGTGTAACTATCACTAGAGCAACAGGTGTAACTATCACTAGAGCAACAGGTGTGACTAACTATCACTAGAGCAACAGGTGTGACTATCACTAGAGCAACAGGTGTAACTATCACTAGAGCAACAGGTGTAGCTATCACTAGAGCAACAGGGGTGACTATCACTAGAGCAACAGGTGTCACTATCACTAGAGCAACAGGTGTGACTATCACTAGAGCAACAGGTGTCACTATCACTAGAGCAACAGGTGTGACTAACTATCACTAGAGCAACAGGTGTGACTAACTATCACTAGAGCAACAGGTGTGACTAACTATCACTAGAGCAACAGGTGTAACTATCACTAGAGCAACAGGTGTGACTATCACTAGAGCAACAGGTGTATCTATCACTATAGCAACAGGTGTGACTATCACTAGAGCAACAGGTGTGACTAACTATCACTAGAGCAACAGGTGTGACTAACTATCACTAGAGCAACAGGTGTGACTAACTATCACTAGAGCAACAGGTGTGACTAACTATCACTAGAGCAACAGGTGTGACTATCACTATAGCAACAGGTGTAACTATCACTAGAGCAACAGGTGTGACTATCACTAGAGCAACAGGTGTGACTATCACTATAGCAACAGGTGTGACTAACTATCACTAGAGCAACAGGTGTGACTAACTATCACTAGAGCAACAGGTGTGACTATCACAAGAACAACAGGTGTGACTAACTATCACCAGAGCAACAGGTGTGACTAACTATCACTAGAGCAACAGGTGTAACTATCACTAGAGCAACAGGTGTGACTATCACTATAGCAACAGGTGTAACTATCACTAGAGCAACAGGTGTGACTAACTATCACTAGAGCAACAGGTGTGACTATCACTAGAGCAACAGGTGTGACTAACTATCACTAGAGCAACAGGTGTGACTATCACTAGAGCAACAGGTGTAACTATCACTAGAGCAACAGGTGTGACTAACTATCACTAGAGCAACAGGTGTGACTATCACTAGAGCAACAGGTGTGACTAACTATCACTAGAGCAACAGGTGTGACTATCACTAGAGCAACAGGTGTGACTATCACTATAGCAACAGGTGTAACTATCACTAGAGCAACAGGTGTGACTAACTATCACTAGAGCAACAGGTGTGACTATCACTAGAGCAACAGGTGTGACTATCACGAGAGCAACAGGTGTGACTAACTATCACTAGAGCAACAGGTGTGACTATCACTAGAGCAACAGGTGTGATTAACTATCCCTTGAGCAACAGGTGTGACTATCACTAGAGCAACAGGTGTGACTATCACTAGAGCAACAGGTGTGACTATCACTAGAGCAACAGGTGTGACTATCACTAGAGCAACAGGTGTGACTATCACTAGAGCAACAGGTGTGACTATCACTAGAGCAACAGGTGTGACTATCACTAGAGCAACAGGTGTGACTAACTATCACTAGAGCAACAGGTGTGACTAACTATCACTAGAGCAACAGGTGTGACTAACTATCCCTAGAGAAACCAGTGTGTTTGTTGATTGTCAACAGTAAATAACTGTGTCCACAGTGAGCACATGTGTCTACAGTGAGCACATGTGTCTACAGTGAGCACATGTACGTCACAGTGAGCACATGTGTCTACAGTGAGCACATGTACGTCACAGTGAGCACATATGTGGACAGTGAGCACATGTGTCTATAGTGAGCACATGTACCTCACAGTAAGCACATGTGCCTCACAGTGAGCACATATACCTCACAGTAAGCACATGTGCCTCACGGTGAGCACATATGTGGACAGTGAGCACATGTGTCTATAGTGAGCACATATACCTCACAGTAAGCACATGTGCCTCACGGTGAGCACATATGTGAACAGTGAGCACATGTGTCTATAGTGAGCACATATACCTCACAGTAAGCACATGTGCCTCACGGTGAGCACATATGTGGACAGTGAGCACATGTGTCTATAGTGAGCAAGTGTGTAGGCTTACCATTAGCCTTGCCTACCTTGAGCAGGTGTGTGGACCAGGTGTTGAAGGACCGCTCCTGGTCGTCCAGGTCGTCGCCACAGGCCAGCTTCATTAGGCGCTCTCCTCCAGACAGCTTCAGCAGGCGGTCCACATACTTCCCGAAGGAGCAGAAGTGAATGTAGTTGCTGGAGCCAAGAGCGAACACCGCGAATCTGGTGATGGTACAAACATGGGCCTCAAAACTTTATGTTATCACTCGTCTCATTCCAACATTCTACAATACTTTTGTTTAGATTCTAAAAACTCATATTTTAGATATGACCGATCCATTCTCCTGGTAAATAACAAAGTGAATTATATTAAAACTGTTCTATGTACCAGATGTAGTTTTGTATACCTTAAAGAGTTGACAATGTCATATTGTAATTAACCAATAAGAAAACTACCACAGGAATATGCCTTAACCCTTGGGATGAACGTAGCACGTCTGAGTGTAGACGCAGTAGTGAGCGGCTCGTGTCTCAGGACAACTGGTGAAGGCTTACTGGCACATGTGAGGTCCTCGTCAACCTGCCTCCAACTGCTCCAGTTGGAAGCCGGATGACGAGGAACTCGATAGTCAGGAAGGTCCTGGTCAATAATGGATACTCTACCGGATATGTCGAAGAGATCATCAAAAGGAAGGTGAGTCGCCTCAGACGAAACAAACAACAACACATCTTCGGTCCCTGCTATTATAATATTGTATCTTATCTTGAGGTTATCTTGAGATGATTTCGGGGCTTTTGTGTCCCCGCGGCCCGGTCCTCGACCAGGCCTCCACCCCCAGGAAGCAGCCCGTGACAGCTGACTTACACCCGGGTGCCTATTTTACTGCTAGGTAACAGTGGCATAGGGTGAAAGAAACTCTGCCCATTGTTTCTCGCCGGGGCCTGGGATCGAACCCAGGACCACAGGATCACAAGTCCAGCGTGCTGTCCGCTCGGCCGACCTGCTCCCGTATAGGACCTTCTCCACGGCCCACAGAACGGAAAGAGGATCCTGAAAATATTATTGATAGAAATGTGACCTCTACGGAAACATGATGACTAGGGAAACAGATGATTAATTCAGTCATCTGAATGACTGAATTAATAATATACTATAAGAGCAGGATGACTGCAAAGCTGCTCATGAAGAACTCTCCTGAAACCAAACAAAGGCCCTTGAAAGAGACGAGTGTTGTCTATGCCCCTCACATGCCCACTAGGGAACTGTTAGCCCCAACGAACTCAATATATTGGCAAGACAATAACATCCCATCGAGGCACCTAACAATGCACAAACAACAAGGCTCTATTTAAGGAACATATATTCTCTATATTTACACTTTCCCGCTTGATGAGTTCTGAAAAAAACATACCTCTTGCGCTTTCTGCGTTTCGCGCGCCTAAGCGGTAAGACCGAAAAGTGTATACTCTTTTGACTGTCCTGACACTAATTGTAGGCGTACATATTTACATTTGGTATCACTGTGTTAGCAATAGAATTGTCTATAAGAACATACCTATAAAATGCCGCCAAAGCATAAGGCATAAAACACCAAATAAAAAACTATTCAGATCACTTGCCGAGAGCGCCAAACAGCAACAAAATGTTTCCACTCTCTTAATGGTTGTGAAGCCCACAGTTGTGCTACAGCGTTAATTTTGGTATCACTGAAATCACAATAAAATTCTCTATACGGACATAGGCATATAAATATAGATTCACTGTTGTAGCCCACCCAAAACAGTGTGGGAAGTGGCCGAAGTGTTACCCGCGGCGGCATATCGGCGAAACTCGCTTTGAAAAGTGTATATTCAATTCACTGTCCTGATATTATTTTTCGATGTATGTATTTCATTTTTGTTCCAATGTGTTCACAATAGAATGTTCTATAAGAACATAAGTATTAAAGGTCACATAAGGATGCGTTCGACCGGCAACATATATAAAAACTACGTCGATTATACTCGTCGTGTCAATAATACAATTGTTTTACCACGATGATTCACTGCCACGCCGTTCTCTTTATTAAGTTGTTCGGCTATTAAAGAAAACGTAAATTTCATGGCAAACATTTGTAAACTATCCCCAAGTTGATTGGATAATAATTTTTTTTTTTTTTTTTTTTTTTTTTTTTGAGATATATACAAGAGTTGTTACATTCTTGTACAGCCACTAGTACGCGTAGCGTTTCGGGCAAGTCCTTAATCCTATGGTCCCTGGAATACGATCCCCTGCCGCGAAGAATCGTTTTTTCATCCAAGTACACATTTTACTGTTGCGTTAAACAGAGGCTACAGTTAAGGAATTGCGTCCAGTAAATCCTCCCCGGCCAGGATACGAACCCATGACATAGCGCTCGCGGAACGCCAGGCGAGTGTCTTACCACTACACCACGGAGACTGCAAATGGATTTTATACAAATATTTCTTCTCGTGACTAGCGAGCGCGGCACGCAAGCGTAATCAGTAGAAACGTTGTTGACGACTATGTTGTCACCAAAGCCCGAAAGTGTTTATATATTCTCTATATATAACTATTTTATCCCCAGATATATCCTAACAAACAACAAAATGATCGGTAGACAAAGCAACATCGGCGAGAAATTGAACATCAAACAAACCAAGCCGTTTATCAACAGCCAACTAAAACTAAATTACACGCTGCCAATTTCAAGAAGACGACTGAACACACAACATACTGACCCAGCCATCATGGGAACATAGAAGATTGGTAAAATGAAGTAGACTTATTGGCCCATTAGTAAGGTGCTTCACCTTCAACTCGTCCCTGGCTATATCCGGCAGAATAAAACTTTGTAACCATTCGAATTCTAACGACACGCTCTTGCCTTTGCCAAAGGAAGCCTGCTTAACCGAAAAGCTAAAGTCAAATTCCAATGAAGAACATCCTCCTCAAAGAGGCCGGAAAATTCTCTAAGCCTTTTCCTCTTCAACAATCTCATTGAACAATTCATGAAGCTCAAGACACCAAAAGCCAAACTGCTTAATAACTATGCAAACGACTTTGTGGTCATCATCAATGGCAGAACGCAGGGACGCGGAACGCAGGGACGCGGAACGCAGGGACGCGGAACGCATAGCAGTGAAAATAAACAGCAATAAAACCAAAGCAATGGCCGTTAAAATGAGAACTCAAGACATCAGACTCGCAATACAAAGACACGAGATTGAGTGGGTTACATCTTTTTAATACCGTGGAGTCATACCAGACAGCCAGTTGAAATTCACTAAAAAAATTTAATATCTTCAGCAACGTTTTAAAGAGACACTCAGCTTTGCGCTCAGAGACAAGTCTTCGAGATGGAGCATCTCTACCAGTACTCAAACTGTACTACGTTCAAGCAGTTAGGTCACTCATTGACTATGCTGCTCCTGCTCTTACATCCCTCAGTGATAACCAATGGGAGAAACTGGAAGTGCTTCAAAATGATGCCCTCAAAACATTGCTGGGAGCACTTATATGGACGCGTCAAGAGAATCCAAGAATGGAAACCAACTTACCAGCCTTAGAAAACAGGATCAAACAAAGAATATCCGCCATAATAGCAAAACTGGTTCGAACCACCGCCAGACTGAAAATCAAATATTGCATACACAGAGCGCTTCACAGAAACCTTTAATATAGAACACGTGCATGGACGGATAATCTTGTCAAGATTCTAGAGAAAGTGTACTTGAAACGGACCATTAAAAACAAAGGGGAAGATAGACCATATCAACACTTTCAGCAGCCTCCTCCATGAGAAGAATCGAGTCGAAAGATAATCATTGATAGATTAACAGTTAAAAAATCAGCTTGTGTCTCACAGAGGCTCAAGGCAGTCATAGAACAACAAATGGAAACCATCTCAAGACCGACATCTACTCACATCTTCACAAACGGATCAGTTGATAAAGATAGAGGTGTTGCTGGAGCTCTTCCTCTTCCAGCTGAACCCTGATGCAAGAGCACTAGTAAGAGGGATAGAAGCCCTAAACCAGAAAATAGTTAATATAATATGAAATATTATATGCTGTTGCGGAATATGCTGTCATATTCAATGAGAAATATATATATATATATATATTGTGACGATAATCTCCTTCAAGAGATTGAGCCTGCTCTTCCCTCCTAAGTTCGTCGCTATACATCCCTATACAACTAATATGGAAGAAATATCCAACAAGTACAACTCCAAGGTTTGCCAGAGAGCAAACGTATTCAGCACCAGGAACACCTGCTCCGCCTCCGCTACTCGAACCACCAAACTACCTGTCCGTCGCCTGCTCATCGCTGATTGGCTGGTGGTCAGTCGCACCTGCTCCTCCACCGCCACACTACCTGATGTCTGGGGCCACCACGTCCTGCAGACCTCAGAATATCCAGTGCTTTCAACAAGTTAACACGTCTCGTTGGTAGACTAAGCTCTGGCTTACGTGTACTAAGAGAGGTGGCAGCTTAAAGCCAATATTCCTGCACCCATATTTGCATTGTATATTGTTCACTTGTTATTACTCACTTGTCTTAACGTAACTTTTCATTTTGCCATTTGATTATTCTTATTATTTTGATTGATTGATTTTATGTTACACTTTGTATGTCCATTTTATTCATGTTTTGCTTTTCTAACGTAATTAAAATCTCATTGTTAAATTTACTTGTGTTTTGTGTGTCTTCCCATTACCTTACCACAGACGACGTTCCAAATTTTCTCTTTTTTGTTTCTATATGTGACGAGGCCATACCCCTAGCTTTTGAAACAGCCGAACACCAACGCGTTACCATCACAATATATATATATATATATATATATATATATATATATATATATATATATATATATGTCGTACCTAGTAGCCAGAACGCACTTCTCAGCCTACTATGCAAGACCCGATTTGCCTAATAAGCCAAGTTTTACTGAATTAATATATTTTCTCTAATTTGTTTATTATGAAATGATAAAGCTACTCATTTCATAATGTATGAGGTCATTTTTTTCTTATTGGAGTTAAAATTAACGTAGATATATGGCCGAACCTAACCAGCCCTACCTAACCTAACCTAACCTATCTCTATAGGTTAGGTTAGGTTAGGTAGCCGAAAAAGTTAGGTTAGGTTAGGTTAGGTAGGTTAGGTAGCCAAAAAAACATTAATTCGTGAAAACTTGGCTTATTAGGCAAATCGGGCCCTGCATATTAGGCTGAGAAGTACGTTCTGGCTACTAGGTACGACATATATATATATATATATATATATATATATATATATGTCGTACCTAGTAGCCAGAACTCACTTCTCAGCCTACTATTCAAGGCCCGATTTGCCTAATAAGCCAAGTTTTTCTGAATTAATATATTTACAATAATTTTTTTCTTATGAAATGATAAAGCAACCCTTTTCTCTATGTATGAGGTCATTTTTTTTTTATTGGAGTTAAAATTAACGTAGATATGTGACCGAACCTAACCAACCCTACCTAACCTAACCTAACCTATATATATAGGTAAGGTTAGGTTAGGTAGCCGAAAAAAGCTAGGTTAGGTTAGGTTAGGTAGGTTAGGTAGACTAAAAAACATTAATTCATGAAAACTTGGCTTATTAGGCAAATCGGGCCTTGAATAGTAGGCTGAGAAGTGCGTTCTGGCTGTTAGGTACGACATATATATATATATATATATATATATATATATATATATATATATATATATATATATATGCACAACTTGCCTAAACACACAAGAGAAGTTATTCATATTTAGAACACTTTCCCACCAGGAGATTCGAACCCTAGCCAGCACAGAAGCCTTACAGCAACTGGTACGCCTTTAACCCACTGCACCAAACTCAGACCCTTAAAAGAGATGGTAATTTCAGGGTATTTAAACCCCCTAAAGATCACCACCTCCCAAGGGCAACTAGAGCTAGTGAGGGGTCACTCACGTTCTTTCATCAAATTCCTGTTAATAAGGGAGAACTCTGTGTTTATGCTTAAGGGTCTGAGTTTGGTGCAGTGGGTTAAAGGCGTACCCGTTATGCCAGTTGCTGTAAGGCTTCTGTGCTGGCTAGGGTTCGAATCTCCTGGTGGGAAAGTGTTCTAAAGTTAAATAACTTCTCTTACGTGTTTAGGCAAGTTGTGCATTAAGCATAGACACAGAGTTCTCCCATATTAACAGGAATTTGATTACCCAGGAACGGAGTACCCAGCGAACGGCGACTGGCGCCTATGCGTCTGAGCTGGACAGGATATGTTAAGGTAGATCATTTTTCTCTTCCTTATTTACCTTGGTTGTTAGGCAAGGTAGGGCTATTGCTATGCTTAGGCATTTATTAGAGTTCACATAAGTCATAGGAGTAGATTAGGCTGTGGGACAGCACGTATTATCATTCTACTGAGTAGTGAAGACAGCGTGTGGCCGGCTTGTGAAGGGTCGAGGGACGACGTGGATGGAGCCACCCAGTGAAGGGGGCCAGTGATCCCTTTAATTCATGATGCGAGCTGCCGGCGGCCACCAGAGGAGCGCTGTTGCCACAATTATTATTATTATTTTTTCCATAAATACATACATGTATCTCGTGTGTTGTAGTTTACTTTGAGTAAACTTTTTATTATTTTATCACTGCTTTTGGTGTAACCTCCATCTCATTGAGCTTTGTGATTAATGACATATGATTATACTGTACTGTTACTGGCATGACATAGAGAGAGATCCTGTGTTGGCAACACGTTATTGGATTTGAACCAGTACTGGTACTGGCCTTCCTTAGAGAGTGACCCTGAGATGGCAACACGACTGTACATTTGAATTCTAGTACTGGCAGCATATAGTATGGTCCTAGGCAGCTGTAATTATATTATTTTCGAACTAAGAGCGTTGCTGGGACGCTGAGAGAATTACCCAGCTGGCGACCAGATGATAAGAGGTGGAAGTGAGGCTACGGCCGGAAGTCCGGCAAATTCTCTGCACGCATAGGTGGGCAGGCCCGGTGGGGGGCAGTCACATACTGCAGGATTGAACTTAGCAGTATGCTTAGCTTAGCTTAGCTCTCTTCCCTTAGTCAGTCTGGTGTTGACAAAGGCTTTAACAGGCTGAAACGTTCACCTTCTTTCATATTTCTCTGTGGATTTTCCGCATATATTATATATATATATATATATATATATATATATATATATATATATATATATATATATATATATATATATATATATATATATATACGTATATATATGTATCACACTCTTGAGTGTGAGTAGTCACACTACTCTTGAGTATGGAGATACGCACTCAAGAGTAGGGGATGTATGTGAAACAGGAATGTACTCACCTAATTGTGTTTGCGGGGGTTGAGCTTTGGCTCTTTGGTCATTGTGGAAATGTGAAATGGTCAGTATAGTGAGTGTGGAGAGAGGGGAGGCACTCACTTGAAGGCCGGGGCTGTGCTGTACTCCAAGTTCCGACTCTCTAAGTCTTGCAGGGACTCCTGGCGCCGACCCAACCGTCGCAGTAGCCTAGCGATACTGCCCATCTTTTTCTGGTCCATCTCTTCCACTGTTCTCTGACTAACTGCTCCTTCTTCAGGTATACTACTGGTGGTGGTCCTGGCAAAGGCATGTGTGTGTCTTTCTTATTCTTCAAGACATTCACAGGTGACTGACACATGGTTATGTCAGTCACAGATTATTTCAATTAAAAGCAAATAAAACAGACAGCAGGCAACCACCACACAATAAACATTGAATCAAAGACAACTTACATTTTAAACTGGTTGTAGTCTTCTTGGAATGACAGTCTAAAAAATGAAAAAAAATGTATGTAATTGTTAAATTATCATTTGATTAGCAAGAATGCATAATACTAAAACTAAACCATACATATTTTTGTATGTTGTTTCCATAAGGATTTCGTTATTTGATCAATTCAAATTTTTAAAACGGGAACACTTTATCTTAATAATTCCTTATATGAAATGTAATCTGTAATTAAAACAGGGAGACAAAACTAAAACAAAGTAAAATATAGCAAATTTAAAACTTACAAATCAAAGGACTAGTGCAGGGGCGGGAACCTATGGCATGCGTGCCTTGGCGGCATGTGAGCAAATTTTGAAGGCCCGTGGCAGTCGGTGCCACCCCCATGATTCTTTAAACCTCACCAATAATAAATAAATAAATTATATAAATATAAATATTAAATAAAGGTTGTTTTGCCTGACATTCATACAACCAACCCTGAGGACAGCACACTCCTAGGTGCTCCTCTTGGAAGGAATGCCATCGACGGGGTCCTCGGTAAGAAGATCACTGACCTGAAGAGGATGAACGAGAGGATTGAAGACATCGATGCTCATGATGCACTTTACCTCATCACCAGATGCTTGTCCCTCCCCAGGCTGACCTACTTTCTAAGATGTTCGCCATCTTTCAACAATATTAAATTAGAAGAGTATGACAGCTTGCTGAAATCAACACTAGAAAAAGCCCTCAATCTTTCCCTCAGCGACTCACAGTGGAAACAGGCCTCCCTTCCTGTCAGACTCGGGGGACTTGGCGTGCGCACAGCAACACAAATTGCTGTACCAGCGTTCCTGTCCTCTTCAGTGGGGTCTGACAACTTGGTGAAGGAAATCCTACCTGAGCACCTAGTTCAACAGGCAGGGGTGCATGATCCCAGCTTCACAGACTGCACAACCAAATGGGTCTCTCTCGCAGGACCAGCACCCCAACCACCGCCTTCTGAAGCCCATAAGCAATCCAGCTGGGATCGCCCCATTGCCGACCAAGAAGCTGCAACTTTGCTAGAAGCTGCGACAACACCACATGACACTGCCCGACTTAGAGCTGTAGCAGCTCCCCATGCAGGTGATTTCCTATTAGCAACCCCAATGTCAGCAACCGGCACCCGTCTCACACCGCAGGCCCTCCGAATTGCCGTGGCTCTCCGCCTAGCTGCCCCAATCCACACCGAATACAGGTGTATTTGCGGCGAGGCAGAGGCCGACAGATATGGACGGCATGGCCTTCTTTGCCAAAGGATGGGAGGATGGCATGCAAGACACGGCGAGGTTAATGACATTATTAAGAGAAGCCTTACCACAGCCGGTTGTCCAGCAGAGAGAGAGCCCCGTTACCTAATATCCCGCAACTCTGATGAGCCTGTCGGTCGCCCAGACGGAATTACGGTGAACCCCTGGAAGAATGGTAGACAGTTGGTGTGGGACTACACTTGCGTTTCAACTTTAGCCAATACCTATGTTGACTTCAGTGCTACACAAGCAGGAGGAGCTGCCAATCACCGGGAAGCGGCCAAGTCACGTAAATACAGAGACCTTGAGCACCACTACAATTTTGTCCCCATTGCCTCAGAGACACTTGGTGCCTGGGGTAAAAGTGCTGCTAGCTTTTTGAAGGAGTTGGGGTCTAAGCTAATCGAAACAACTAGAGACCCTAGAGCTGCCAGTTTTCTTTTTCAGCGCCTTAGTGTGGCCATCCAGAGAGGAAATGCTCACTGCATCCAAGGTTCCTGCCCGCCATCTGAGGAGCTGGAGGAGCTTTTCAACTTGTGACAAGCAGCCTTGTACCCTGCATGTAATCAATATTGTAACTTTTTTTGTGTAATGACATTTTCAAATAAAGTTAGATAAATATACACACTTAACAAAAGAATAGGGGTGGTAGGAGAGGAAAATATCAAAGTGTTCAGTGAGGATCCACAAGGTCTTCTCTGAGTACTCTTTATTTTCTTCTCCGAGGCTATGGGTCCCTACACTTGCACCAGAGGTGGTACCCCTTCTAGGTATTAAAAAAAATATATTATATATATATATATATATATATATATATATATATATATATATATATATATATATATATATATATATATATATATATATATATATATATATATATATATATATATATATATATATATATATATATATATATATATATATATATATATATATATATATATATATATATATATATATATATATATATATATATATATATATATATATATATATATATATATATATAAAGAATTTTACATTCTTGCAAAGCCATTAGCATGCATAACGTTTCAGGCAAGTCCTTAGTCTTATTTTTCCCCGGAATACGACCTGCCAAATCATTTAACAACCATGTACTCCACAACTGGGTGAACTGAGGCTACAGTTAAGGATTGGTGCCGAGTTAATCCTTCCGGCCAGAATACGAACTCAGGCCAAAGAGCTCACCCAGCACTGGGCGAGTGTTTTACCACTGTGCCACGGAGGCTGCGAAAAGTCCCATACCAAATAAAAATATAAAGATCATTACTACTGTTAAATGAAACACTGCTTGATTTTTTTAACAACATTTTTCAAATTTTACTGAGTGAATTTGTTCGGTGTACACACAGCTTCTTATGTACAGCAATGTTCGTTCAGAGCTTGGATGAAATTCGTCTGATTTTCACGAATGAAAAATTTTCTTGTCGAGAATAATATGACCTGTGGATTTGTCGATTGATATTTTTCACTGCTTTATCCACACATCTGAATGACTTGAACACCAAATTACAGTGATCCGTCAGACACTTGATGTTATGTTTGATAACATGAAAGCCTTTGAAACTGAACTGAATGTTGTTAAACGTGATGTCAGTAATGACACTTTTAAATATTTCCCAAATCTAAAAAAGCACATGAAAGACCTTGACATTCTTAAGAAAAATAGATATACTGGGTCGCAACTGTTGAGCATCACTGATTCATCTGCTGACCAATTTTCTTTACATTTTACAAAATTTGACTAAATTTAATAAATTTACTTTAAAATTGACTGAATTTAGGTCATTTAAATAAGCTGCAAAATTCATGTGTGCAGACAGAGTAACATGAGACAAAGTTGCCGTGGATTGATTTATAAAAGCAGTTCATTTTTATGGCAACATTTGTTTACTTCAGAGCAGAGGTGGAAAATGTTGAAAGAGAACGGTGAGCAACTGGTGTAACCCAGAAAAGAAAGTTCTGAAACTCTGTAGTTCCTTTTCTGGAACTTTTAAATTAAAACCTCGCAATGGGACTAGTTATAATTTCCAGCGAGGAAATTTGTCAGGTGTAATTACACGAGACTTGGCGATGAGACTGATGGCGCATGCACAGCTCACACACCGACCACATGCAGGTTTGATGTCAAATATCTCACATCGTTGGTGCAGCAGCAAAAGTTCCCTACGGAGTAAAATAACCTTATTTTCCCATCTCTTATTTATAATTTTTTTTATAAGTGGAGCCAACCCTTATTGTTGCTTATACGGTAAAATATGAAAAACGCTTCACTCACGACTAACATCTGATGACTTTTGAATGTTTCTCGAACAGTGCTTCACTGGCGAATTTTGCTTGAATCGCAACTGTGTAAATGCTTCTCACACACGTACTAGACATACTATAATTGCCAACAAAACCTAACCTAACCTAAATATGCACAATATGCTAAATAATAATAATATTACTTGGAATTTGAGAAAATTACAATTTTGAATGGAATTGAACGTCAAAATTCACGAATGTGTCTTTGAGGTCTGCTAGAGGATGGGTTAAAAAAAACTGGTAATTGCCAGAAGAGCCTAAGAAGTAACCACCCCCTTTGAAAAATCCTCCTTGTTCAGTGTGCGAGAATTGTTTATACAGCGCGTGACAGTTATAGTTGGTGTGCTTAGATAATATTCCCAGATTTGGATTTCCTGTCAATAATGATGTGACAAAAGTCCTCAATAACATTTATTATTCTTGAATAAATAGTTGAGTATGTGTGTACATCACGAAAATAAACACGTGATTAAAAATGTGACAGTGTCAGACCACGGAGGAAAAGTAAAATAACAGAGTAATATATATATATATATATATATATATATATATATATATATATATATATATATATATATATATATATATATATATATCGTCATAGTCTGGTATGTCGTAAATCACAGGGTAAGATTGCAAGACATGAAGAAGTCAACGACATCATCAAGAGGAGCCTCGCCACAGCCCGCTGCCCGGCACAAAGAGAACGACTCTTATTCAGACCTAACGACCCTCAGAAGCGCCCAGATGGGATCACCTTGCTACCTTGGAAGGATGGTAAGCAAGTGGTGTGGGACTACACGTGCGCTGCCACACTGGCCAGCACCTACCTCCACTACAGCACTCGTGAAAGCGGTGGTGCTGCTTCATTCAGGGAATCACAGAAAATTATTGAATACAGAGGTCTGGCACACTGCTACAGCTATGTTCCCATCGGCTCAGAGACCCTCGGTTCGTGGGGAAAATGTGCATTGAAGTTCCTGAAGGAATTGAGGGACAAATTGATCAGCGTTACAAAAGATCAGAGAGTAAAACGTTTCTTGTTCCAGCGCCTCAGTGTTGCGATTCAGAGGGGAAATGCCTGTTGCGTCTTGGGCACTAGTCCATCTTCAGAGGAATTTGAAGAAGTGTTTGACTTACAACAATGATCGAACCTGTTTGTGACATTCATCAATTTTTCCATTTGTCGTGTTTTTCAAGAGAGCCATAACCTTTAAGCACTTTTTGTACTATTTATGTATCAACTCATGTATTTCTTGTAACCATCAAATACATAATAAAGCACAACAAAAAGAAGGGTGTGGTAGTAAAAAAGTACACAGAAACTGTATTGGAGGGGATCTAAACATTCCCTCTAATGCGTTATGCGTGGTTTCCTCCGAGGCTATGGGTCCCCCTTCTTCCAGCCAGAGGTGAAAGGTCCCCCCAGAGGTCCCCCTTCCTCTCTCTCTCTCTCTCTCTCTCTCTCTCTCTCTCTCTCTCTCTCTCTCTCTCTCTCTCTCTCTATATATATATATATATATATATATATATATATATATATATATATATATATATATATTTATATCTCTATATAAATTTATATATAATTTATATAATATAATTTTATATAAAATTTATATATTTATATATAATATATATATATATTTATATTTATATTATCAACCCATGTATATCTATTTACATATATATATATATATATATATATATATATATATATATATATATATATATATATATATATATATATAAACATTCTTTACCGGCCAAAGACCCCAACACATCAAACAAATGCTGAACCCGGTGTTTGGAGATGCCGCAAAGGACCTTCTAGTGGAACTTACCAGTTTTTTCAACATGTGTTTGGCTGGCGGCATCCCTGAGGACATCGAGTCTCTCTTTTATGGAGCAGCACTCTGTGCTCTAAAGAAGAAAGATAGAGGGAATCAGGCCCATTGCCGTTGGCAACACCCTCCGACGTAGCTAAGGCTGCAGTGAGTTCTATCAGCCAGGAAGCAGCGACCTCGCTGAAACCCAATCAGCTCGGGTGTGGGATCCCTCTTGGCTGTGTAGCTGCAGCACATGCAGCGTGTGCTTACATTGCTAATCCCTCAGACCAGAAGGCACTAGTAAAGCTTGACTTTAAAAATGCCTTCACTCAAGTCAGAGGAGAAGCTGTCCTCAGGGCTGTACACAACCATTTGCTTCCCCTTTACCCGTGAGTACACCAGAAATCAGTAGAGCTGTACCATCTCGCTACTCACGTTCGCCATTAATACAGGTCCATGATGGACCATATGTGGCAGACCAAGTCCGAAGCTGGAGGAGCAGCTCTCACACAACAAATCATCAGAGACTATATACATTTTATCCAAATAGTAGTGCGATCTATAACCCTTTAATTATTAAATACCGTTTAATTACAGTAAGATTAAAATATGAAACCCCCCAAAATATCTGATGGGAAGTTTATTGGTGAAAATAAATTATATAATACAGATCACCCAGAACTAATAGACACGATTAAATACAATCTCTTGAGATAATAATCAAATCAATCACCGGTAGATTTCTCCACACCGCGGTACAAGAAAATATGCCAACACACCCCGAGGACCACCATACATCTTGGACAACTATAGTTTATAGATATTATTTCAATTATCACTGGAGGCAGGACCCAAGAGCATGAACTCATTGTAGCGCATGACTTTCCTCGGGTCAAGGAGAATAGTCATTCAAAGTCTAGAAGCATATTGGTCATGCTTCAAGAATTATTGAGAGATAATTTTAAAACTTCTATTAAAATCAAACAACTGATTGTAAAGAGCAAGCAAAACAGGATAAACTAAATAAGACAAATCTGAAATGAAAGACGGACTGCAAGTGACGCTAAAATACTTACTTGTTTAGACCATTGTGTCCAGGGCCCAGCTCCTCCTGCAGCCGGTAGAGGTCCTTGACGAACTCCTGTTGAAGGTACTCAGCATCAGGGAGAGGCCTTAGGGACTCCACACACACATACACACACACACACATATGCCAACACACACACACACACACACACACACACACACACACACACACACACACACACACACACACACACACACACACACACACACACACACACACACACATACACACACACACACATATGCCAACACACATGTGTGTTGTGACGTTGAAAGGAACTTTTTCAGGGTCAGAGTAGTTAACGGATGGAATGCATTAGGCAGTGATGTGGTGGAGGCTGACTCCATACGCAGTTTTAAATGTAGATTTGATAGAGCCCAGTACGCTCAGGAATCTGTACACCAGTTGATTGACAGTTGAGTGGCGGGACCAAAGAGCCAAAGCTCAACCCCCGCAAGCACAAATAGGTGAGTACAAATAGGTGAGTACACACACACACATACACACAGCCCGGCTCTCCCGGGCTGTGAGGGGTTCAGAGACTACATAGCAGGCACCATGACAATGGGAGGACCAAGAATATTAGTAGCAGTAATATACAACCCTCCACCAAATGACAGAAGACCCAGTCAAGAGTATGAAAACAACAACATGGCAGTTAACACTATAATTGAGAGGGCAGCCTCTGCTGCCTGTAGAAACAGATCCTACCTGGTCATCATGGGGGACTTCAATCACGGAAGGATTGACTGGGAAAACAAGGAACTTCATGAAGGTGAGGATACGTGGAGAGACAAACTATTGGAGGTGGTGACTAGAAACTTTTTAACCCAGCATGTCAGAGAACCCACAAGGATGAGAGAAAATGTCGAACCAGCGAGTCTCGACCTAGTCTTCACTCTGAACGACTCTGACATAAGAGAAATCGGGTTTGAAGCCCCAGTAGGAATGAGCGACCACAGTGTACTGGTGTTTGAGTACCTGATTGAAGAAGGGTTATTGAACTCGAGGAGGGATACCGAAACCATAAGGTTTGCATACCGAAAGGGAAACTATGAGGAGATAAGAAAATTCCTAACAGATATACCATGGGAAACAGAGCTCAGGGGAAAGACTCTCTAAGACATGACGGACTACATCACGCAGAAGTGCAAGGACGCAGCAAACAAGTTTGTCCCAGTCCAAAAGGAAAACAGTGAAATGAAGATGAGAAACCCATGGTAAAATCAGAGATGTAGGCTAGCTAAGCAGCTAAGTAAAAGGGCATGAAGAAACTATAGGAATAACAGGACACTGGAGAGCAGAGAAAGATACCAGAATGCCAGGAATGAATATGTCAGGATGAGAAGAGAGGCAGAAAGACAATACGAAAATGACATCGCAAGCAAGACTACGACTCAGCCTAAATTGCTGCATAGCCACATCAGGAGAAAAACGACAGTAAAAGAACAGGTTATGAAATTAAGGATAGGGGCAGAAGGATTCACTACAAACGACAAGGAAGTGTGTGAGGAACTGAATAAGAAATTCCAGGTCTTCACCTTAGAGCAAGGAGAAATTCCAGAGATAAGAGAGGGAATACCTAACCAGGATCCACTGGAAGAGTTTGAGATTACCAGCGGGGAAGTAAGGAAGTGTTTACTAGAGTTGGATGTGACAAAGGCTATAGGCCCAAATGGAATCTCCCCTTGGGTTCTAAAGGAAGGAGCTGAAGAACTGTGCCTACTACTCTCCAAAGTGTATAACAAATCACTGGCAACAGGGGAACTGCCAGAAATTTGGAAAGCAGCTAACGAGATCCCGATATACAAGAAAGGGGATAGACAGGAGGCACTGAACAACAGGCCTGTGTCCCTAACCTGCATACCATGCAAGCTGATGGAGAAGATTGTGCGAAGAAAGCTAGTGGAACATCTGGAGCGAAAGACCTTTGTAACACAGCATCAACGTGGGTTCAGGGATGGCAGGTCTTGCCTCACAGGGTTACTTGAATTCAACGACCAGGCAACAAAAATCAGGCAAGAAAGAGAAGGGTGGGCAGACTGTATATTTTTGGATTGTCAGAGAGCCTTTGATACAGTACCACACAAGAGGCTAGTGAAAAAGCTGGAGATCCAGGCTGGAGTGAAAGGGAAGGTACTCCATTGGATAAAGGAGTACCTAAGCAACAGGAGACAACGAGTCAGTGTGGGGGGTGAGGTCTCAGATTGGCGAGACGTTACGAGTGGAGTCCCGCAGGGGTCAGTCCTTGGACCTAAACTGTTTCTGATATATGTAAATGATCTCCCAGAGGGTATAGACTCGTTTCTCTCAATGTTTGCTGATGATGCAAAAATTTTGAGGAGGATTGAAACAGAGGATGATAGTAGGAGGCTACAAGATGACCTAAAAAGACTGAGTGAATGGGCCAACAAATGGCTGTTGAAGTTCAACCCGAGTAAATGCAAAGTAATGAAAATAGGCATTGGAAACAGAAGGTCAGACACAGGATACAGAATAGGAGATGAAGTACTTAATGAAACGGACAGAGAGAGAAAGATCTAGGAGTTGATATCACACAAACCTGTCTCCTGAAGCCCACATAAAAAGAATAACGTCTGCGGCATATGCGAGGCTGGCTAACATCAGAACGGCGTTCAGGAACCTGTGTAAGGAATCGTTCAGAATCTTGTACACCACATATGTAAGACCAATCCTGAAGTATGCAGCCCCAGCATAGAGCCCGTACCTTGTCAAGCACAAGACGAAGCTGGAAAAAGTCCAAAGGTATGCCACTAGACTAGTCCCAGAACTAAGAGGCATGAGTCACGAGGAAAGTCTGCGGGAAATAAAACCTTACGACACTGGAAGAGAGAAGAGTAAGGGGAGACATGATCACAACCTACAAAATCCTCAGGGGAATCGACCGGGTAAACAAGGATAAACTATTCATCACTGGTGGGACGCGAACAAGGGGACACAGGTGGAAACTGAGTACCCACATGAGCCACAGAGACGTTAGAAGGAACTTTTTCAGTGTCAGAGTAGTTAACAGATGGAATGCATTAGGCAGTGATGTGGTGGCGGCTGACTCCATACACAGTTTCAAGTGTAGATATGATAGAGCCCAGTAGGCTCAGGAACCTGTACACCAGTTGATTGACAGTTCAGAGGCGGGACCAAAGAGCCAGAGCTCACCCCCCGCAAGTACAACTAGGTGAGTACACACATGAGTAAGCAGCTCCAGCCTGGAGTCCATAGCTAGTTAAACACAAGATAAAGTTAGAGAAGATTCAGCGGTATGCCACCAGGCTCGTCCCGGAACTGAGAGGAATTAGCTACGAGGAAAGGCTAAAGGAACTGAACCTCATATCCCTGGAAAACAGAAGAGTAGGGAGAGACATGATAACCACCTACAAAATTCTCAGGGGAATTGACAGGGGGGACAAAGACAAACTCTTCAGCACGGGTGGGACACGAACAAGGGGACACAGGTGGAAACTTAGTACCCAGATGAGCCACAGAGACGTTAGAAAGAGTTTTTTTCATTGTCAGAGTAGTTAATAAATGGAATGCATTAGGCAGTGATGTGGTGGAGGCAGACTCCATACACAGTTTCAAATGTAGACATGATAGAGCCCAGTAGGCTCAGGAATCTGTACACCAGTTGATTGACAGTTGAGAGGTGGGACCAGAGACCCAAAGCTCAACCCCCGCAAGTACAATTAGGTGAGTACACACAGTGTCCCTAACTTACATACTGTGCAAGGTGATGGAAAAGATTGTTCCAAGACACTAGTAGAACATCTGTAGCGAGAGAACTTTTGTATCACATCACCAACTTGTGTAAGGGGGGGGGGAAGGTTCTGGGATGGCACATCTTGCCTCACAGATTTAATTTAATTCTATGACCAGGCAAGAAAGAGCATGGTTGGCAGGCTGCATAGTTTTGGATTGCACGAAGCCTTTGACCCAGTATCTGATACGAGACTAGAGCACAAGCTGGAGATGAACGCAGGAGTGAAAGTGAAGGTACTTCGTTGGATAATGGAGTACCTAAGTAACAGGAGATATCGAGTCACTGTGAGGAGTGACGTCTGTGAGTGGCATGACGTCACCAGTGACGTCCTACAGGGTCCAGTCCTTGGACTTGTCCTGTTTCTGATATATGTAAACGATCTTCCAGAAGGAATAGATTCGTTCATCTCAATGTTTGCTGATGATGCAAAATATTTGAAGAGGATTAAGACCGAGGAAGATAGCAAGAGGCTCTCAAGATGACCAAGACTAACTGAAGGAATAGTCCAATAAATGGATAATAAAGTTCAATCCAAGTATATGTAAGGTAATGAAACTAGGCGGAGGAATTAGGAGGCAAGTAAATGGGTACCGAATGGAAGACAGTCTTCTCCGAAAGTCTGGTGGTTGTGTGGGGGTTCACTTGTCTGATGGTTGTGTGGGGGTTCACTTGTCTGATGGTTGTGTGGGGGTTCACTTGTGTGATGGTTGTGGGGGGGTTCACTTGTCTGATGGTTGTGTGGGGGTTCACTTGTCTGATGGTTGTGTGGGGGTTCACTTGTCTGGTGGTTGTGTGGGGGTTCACTTGTCTGATGGTTGTGTGGGGGTTCACTTGTGTGGTGGTTGTGGGGGGGTTCACTTGTCTGATGGTTGTGTGGGGGTTCACTTGTGTGGTGGTTGTGGGGGGGTTCACTTGTCTGATGGTTGTGTGGGGGTTCTCGTGTCTGGTGGTTGTGTGGGGGTTCACGTGTCTGATGGTTGTGTGGGGGTTCACTTGTGTGGTGGTTGTGTGGGGGTTCACTTGTCTGATGGTTGTGTGGGGGTTCACTCTGATGTGTGGTGGTTGTGTGGGGGTTCACTTGTCTGGTGGTTGTGTGGGGGTTCTCTCGTGTCTGGTGGTTGTGTGGGGGTTCACTTGTGTGGTGGTTGTGTGGGGGTTCACTTGTCTGGTGGTTGTGTGGGGGTTCACTTGTCTGGTGGTTGTGTGGGGGTTCACGTGTCTGATGGTTGTGTGGGGGTTCACTAGTCTGATGGTTGTGTGGGGGTTCACTTGTCTGATGGTTGTGTGGGGGTTCTCGTGTCTGGTGGTTGTGTGGGGGTTCACTTGTCTGGTGGTTGTGTGGGGGTTCACTTGTCTGATGGTTGTGTGGGGGTTCACTTGTCTGATGGTTGTGTGGGGGTTCACTAGTCTGATGGTTGTGTGGGGGTTCACTAGTCTGATGGTTGTGTGGGGGTTCACTTGTCTGATGGTTGTGTGGGGGTTCACTAGTCTGATGGTTGTGTGGGGGTTCACGTGTCTGATGGTTGTGTGGGGGTTCACGTGTCTGATGGTTGTGTGGGGGTTCACTTGTGTGATGGTTGTGTGGTGGTTCACGTGTCTGATGGTTGTGTGGGGGTTCACATGTCTGATGGTTGTGTGGGGGTTCACGTGTCTGATGGTTGTGTGGGGGTTCACGTGTCTGGTGGTTGTGTGGGGGTTCACGTGTCTGGTGGTTGTGTGGGGGTTCACTTGTCTGGTGGTTGTGTGGGGGTTCACTTGTCTGATGGTTGTGTGGGGGTTCACTTGTGTGATGGTTGTGTGGGGGTTCACGTGTCTGATGGTTGTGTGGGGGTTCACTTGTGTGGTGGTTGTGTGGGGGTTCACGTGTCTGGTGGTTGTGTGGGGGTTCACTTGTGTGGTGGTTGTGTGGGGGTTCACGTGTCTGATGGTTGTGTGGGGGTTCACTAGTCTGATGGTTGTGTGGGGGTTCACTAGTCTGATGGTTGTGTGGGGGTTCACTTGTGTGGTGGTTGTGTGGGGGTTCACGTGTCTGATGGTTGTGTGGGGGTTCACGTGTCTGATGGTTGTGTGGGGGTTCACGTGTCTGGTGGTTGTGTGGGGGTTCACGTGTCTGATGGTTGTGTGGGGGTTCACGTGTCTGGTGGTTGTGTGGGGGTTCACGTGTCTGGTGGTTGTGTGGGGGTTCACGTGTCTGATGGTTGTGTGGGGGTTCTCGTGTCTGGTGGTTGTGTGGGGGTTCACGTGTCTGGTGGTTGTGTGGGGGTTCACGTGTCTGATGGTTGTGTGGGGGTTCACGTGTCTGGTGGTTGTGTGGGGGTTCACGTGTCTGATGGTTGTGTGGGGGTTCACGTGTCTGGTGGTTGTGTGGGGGTTCACGTGTCTGATGGTTGTGTGGGGGTTCACGTGTCTGGTGGTTGTGTGGGGGTTCACTAGTCTGATGGTTGTGTGGGGGTTCACGTGTCTGATGGTTGTGTGGGGGTTCACGTGTCTGGTGGTTGTGTGGGGGTTCACGTGTCTGATGGTTGTGTGGGGGTTCACGTGTCTGGTGGTTGTGTGGGGGTTCACGTGTCTGGTGGATGTGTGGGGGTTCACGTGTCTGGTGGATGTGTGGGGGTTCACGTGTCTGGTGGTTGTGTGGGGGTTCACGTGTCTGGTGGATGTGTGGGGGTTCACGTGTCTGGTTGTCTCCAGCTGTGCCAGGGTTCACCAACCTTCTGTACCTACCTGGTCGTTGTTTACAGGAACACCCGACAAAGGTGACTTACCTGGCCGTTCTGGGGAGGATCTCCTGCACCAGTAGTGGCGGCCACCACCAGCAGGAGAGCTTCAGCGCTCAGGTTGGTCCTGGTCACCTCGTAGTCTTCCATACACATCACCTGCAGGGATCAGTATTAGTGCTGGAGCCTCTCATACACACGCTACACTGTAACTAACGTTATGGGCATGAGAAGAATTAACAGGCTTGATAGAAACAATAGATGAGCAGGTCAAAAGGATGGAGTGAATGAAGACTGCATTTTACCGGGGGAAAGCTCTGGGACTTCGAGGGAGGATAACGTATCAAAATCATGGTTTTCCATTTTCAAAGAAATGAGACTTGGAATGGTTAGCTATGGTTGCCACTGTACCACCAGGTCAACACAGGGTGACAAGGGAGATGCACAAGCCTCTCGCCCCACCAGGTCAACACAGGGTGACAGTGGATATGCACAAGCCTCTCGCCCCACCAGGTCAACACAGGGTGACAAGGGAAATGCACAAGCCTCTCGTCCCACCAGGGACGAGATGTCAACTCCATGGTGAGTACTTCATTAATCTGCTATAATTAATGAAATTATAGGTAATATAACCCCATCCCTCCCCCATCGGGAATTATGCCGCTGCAACATTCATCCTGATTGCAATCCCTAATTCTCGTATTTCTTATGAAATAAATTTAATTACATTACATTATTATTCTGGTGGTGTGTGGCATGAGAACCCAGTGAGGCATGAGAGAGTAGCTGGTCCCTCCGCCAGTGTGCTGTCAGCTGTTGGGAAGGGTGGATGTGCTTGTTTCGTGGCGTGGCGTAAATTCACCTTAACGAATATAATTTTATTTGCGATAACTGTTCATGTATTGCATATTTATTTTGGAGTGAATGATAAATATTCTCGCCTTGTAGGCAAAGAATTTCCTCGTTCAACAATACGATTCGTGCGAGATGCAATATTATTTCAGTGATATTGCAGAGGACTTTTAAGAGGAGAATAACTGATATCTCAGGGGCTTATAAGGTTATCGGATAAAAAACAAATGCAAAGACATATATTGCTACTATAAATATGCGAATTTATATATAAAATCGATAGAATTTGACGGAAAATAATATTTTTGAGACGGATGAATGTTTTTCCTCAGTTCATTCAAGAGATATATGGACGAAATTTTCACAGGATGAAATACATTATCCCGGCAGCGTGTATGCAAATTTACAAATAAATAAATAAATAAAATGTAATCCGAAATACTGCCGGAATATTTGAATATTATTTGCGAAAGGTGACCTTTCTCAACTTCATAGTCTAATTGCTGGCTTCATTCTAAGAAATTTCCATGAAACCTACAGAGTGGGCACAGTACCCAACTCTACAATCCGTATCAACTTTATTTTAATTTACCGCAGAAATTTAGCGTTAAAAATGTTCAAAATCTTGAATGAATACATTATTCGGGGACATGTCAGATTTTATATTTACTTCAACTAGACGGACATAAGAATAGCTAATTTTGTTACGAATTATAGATTTGATGCTATTACGAGAGCTAAAAGCAAAAGACATGTTGAAAATTTATATTTTAAATTTTGTTTGTTTGTTTGCTTTCAAATATTGTCTTAAGAGGCTGAAACTTCTGTCAGTAGGTCTTATGTTACGGTGCCCTCTCCTATTTCTTTCGTTTGCCGGCTTAAAGAGTCATATCAGCTCTCCCTACTGATTCTCTGAGGTTCAGGGAGTCTAATGATATATGTGGCGACCAGACTGGCTGCCATTTAATGGAAGGAGGTTATATTATAAGTTGTAAATAAAGGAAAGTTGGCGCCCTGATATAAAATGAAACAGTATCCCCTACGGCAGATATGACCTTGTGGAAGGGACACTATGCCAATCGCGGATTGGCCGACGTAGGTCGCGGGCGACAAATCAGGGCCCGCCATGACGTCACCGAGTGCCCCGGGCGGCGCCAACGTCAGAGTTGTACTGACCGTGGAAGCGACAGGACGCGCCTCGGTCTGCTCTCAAGGATTGGAGGCTCTGCAAGCCTTGTTCAGTGGATTGAGCTGGCCTTCGTTGCCCACCATAGTTATTGGAGACCCTGCGCTTCTGGGAAGCCAAAGAGGAACCAAGTTCAGTGAGCAGAGAAGTGCCCAAACTTGGAAAATAGTCGGCGACGACGCTGGGCGGCGCCGCTGGCTGGACGTTGAGGTCTGGAAGGTGGGCGAGCAAGCTAGCTGTGACTGGGGTCACATCCACTGAGAATCTTGGAAGGACGACACCGTGCCTAGGACAAGGAGCGACGCCCTGTGGGAGAGGCGAGTGTGGGGAAAGATAGTGATTGGCTCAGCGCCCATCGATGAACCAGGATTGGGGCAGCTGAATCTCAGGGATTGGAACGGCGACGACGCGAAGGCTTCACGACACCTGAGGACCTGTGGAACGCCCTGGATCGTCGAGGATCGACCCAAGGAAGCGTGGGAACCTCACACCATCGAGGGACAGGCGTCGTGAGCCAGGAGTGTAAGGTAGATCATTTTTCCCTCCCATTACCCTTGTATGAGTAGGCTAGTTAGGCCACAATATTTACTTGTGTATGTGGCAGCAAGACTTTATTACTTTAATAGTAGAATAGGCTGCAAGGCAGCTTGTGTCCAGGACTGTCAGAGAGGACAGTGTGTATGGATGGCAGGACAGTGAAGAAGAGGTGCCGACGTGGTGAAGAGGCCCTCCTGTGAGAGTGTGAGACTCCTGTCTTCCTGCCCAGTTGAAGGAGAGTTGGAGGTCGTGGAAGAAGAGGCTGACGATCTCCAGACTCATCATCCATATTCCATATTCATGTATTACTTGTGATTGTGTGTGTGTGTTCATGTAATTTGCGTCAGTAAATCCACACATTTTATTACTGTGTTTGAGTGTGCCTCCATTTGTGATATTTCTCTATGAGCATACATTTCTGGCTACAAACGATATATGATACACCCACTGAACTGCATTGCTGGGGTGCAGATATAATAACCCAGCTGGCGACCTTGCTAAGAGGAAGATAGAGAAGACAGGCGGGAAAGGAGTTCCTGCAACCTTTTTTTTGTCTGGCAGGCAAGTCTCAGAGAGGCTATGGTTATAGGTAAGCCTGAGTCTTCCTTCACTCCCCCACGGGTCTAGGCCGGAACTGTTAACAGCAGTTTCCCCGTGGTTGACTGAAGGGCTTCCAGGGTGAATCAGTGGCACCCCTTTGTGGTGGAAGCAAAGACCTGCGGAGGTGGGCATTGTTGGTCCTATCTTGTGTGACCAAGGAGACTCCGGTGAATCCAGGGAGTCGGAGGGGCTGAGTATTTGGGCCCTTTGAGCCCCTAGCAGCCGAGTGTTAGCAGAGCCCCGGACCGCCCACCCCCCCACGTGACAAGAGAACTGGCGACCTCGCCAGGATTCGAACCCCAGTAGCCAAGAACTGGGAACTTCGCCAGGAAGCGTGGATCAAGCTACAGTGTGGACCAAATTGCAAGACAAGTGTTGCCAGGGTACTAATACAGTGTGGCCAGTGAATTCGGTGGTACTGTTACTCAACCAGCTAAGGGACTGAAACGGTGAAATTAGTGCCTACTAACTTGTCTGTGCTGTCGTGTATGCTCAATGATATAGAGATGGAGGAAGACAAAGTAAAGAAATTTATTGACACAAGGGACGAGAGAATTTTGGAAGAGTGTACCAAGGCCCAGCTCCAACAAGTGGCAAACCACTTTGGGATCAGGTTGAGGACGACTAAGGTAGCGGAGCGAAGGATAGAGATCATGGCACAGCTCACAGCTCGAGAGGAAGCGACGGGAGAGGAGCCATCTCAAGAGGAGCCGTCCCGAGGAGAGCCGTCGCAAGGTGAACCGTCCCGACTAGGGCCACCCCAAGCGCCTACCAGTGTGGAGAGAATTCACAGTGAACATGGGAGCAGTGGAAGGTCCAGCTGTAGTAAGAGGAGCCTGCAACTGGAAATAATGAAGATGCAACTGGAAGCCCAGCTGTGACGAGAGGAGAGAGAAGCGCAAATGCAGCGAGAGGAACGTGCGGCTGAGCTGCAGCGAGAGGAGCGAGAAGCTCGGCTGCAGCGGGAAGAAGGAGAGAGACAACTGCGACTGGAGGAGATAAGGGCAAAGAAAGAAGTCGAATTGCGTCACGTTGAACGTGGTCTGCCCTCACTACCTGCACGGCGGGATGACCTCAAGGTAAGGGAACGTGACTTACCTACGTTCGAACCACAAGAAGCTGAGGCGTTCTTCGAACACTTTGAACGGATAGCAACTCTGAAGGAGTGGCCGGAAGATGATTGGGCTGCTCTGGTCCAGGGCAGGTTGACTGGTGAGGCCCGGGAAGCCTATAACATGCTGGACCTAGAGGAGTGTACTAGTTATGACGCGATTAAGAATGCGGTTCTCCACTCATTCCGGCTGACTGCGGAGATGTACCGGAAGCGGTTCAGAGAGTGTACAAGAGCGTCGGGAAAGACTTACGCCGAGACCGCCAGGGAGATGGAACGGAAATTCCTACGATGGTTGAAGGCGGAGGAAGCGGAGTCGGTGGATGATGTTAAACGACTGATAGTGATGGAGAAGTTCATGTCGGTGCTCCATCCTGAGTTGCGAGTAAGGGTGAGAGAAGCAGGTATTAAGGACCTGAAGGCTGCAGCGGATCGAGCCGACATGCTGGAGGAGGCACTACATATCAGGAGGGAGGGGCCGCCCAGACACTCGCCTTACCCCAGGTCGGGAGGGAACCTTAGGAGTTCAGGAGGAGCGAGGATGGATGGGGACTCTCCCAAAAGTAGTGTACCCAATGAGGTAACCCAGTCCAAGTGCTCAAGGGACGCGGGGAGGAAGCCCCAACCTGTGAGCAGTGGACGTAGCTCGGGAGCGAGTGCTGCTGCCCGGGAACCGACGACAGAGAGTCCTAGGTGGACTCAGGGAACCTCTACCATTGGCGCTACCAGGAGGACTGGTAGAGGATCGCCTAGGAGAGGCGGTCGGTGTTACAACTGTGGGGGACGAGGACACCTTGCAAGGGAGTGCGGTCGCCCCAGGCACGGTGGAAACGTGGCTTTCGCTAGGATGGAAAGCGGAGAAGCCAACGATTA